AATATTGAACCATAATATTCAAATTAGACCAGGTTATTATACTACTGGTTACTAGAGTATCTTATCAGAGGAAATAATTATAGGCTTATTAGGTTACTTTCAATGTAGATACACAATAGCGTTAAAATGAGGAAATTCGCAGGCAAAATTATGTATTACAACATGACTCTATCAGAGGAAATTATTATAGTTGGATGAATATAGCTCACATTCTAAATATACATAATGGCCTTTTCTTAATATTAACATATTATTTTGAAACGTGGTCAGTAGATTTTTTATGTCGAGCCGAGTCACGAAATTATAGACGAATTAGAGGACGTGTGTCGGTATGAACTCCTAATGTTAAAGACATCGTTTCGAATCCCACGCCGGGTCTGTAGTAGTAAATAAAAATGCTCAATAATCATTTTTTTCTTCTTCGCGGAATTAAAATCTTTTTCTTACATTATGTTAATTTTAAATCAGCACTCACCTTTTATATTAGTTGTAATTCTTTGCCTGTTCCTTGTAATTCATGTGGGAATTGCAGAATAATCTTAATTACTATTTTGTTCAACTTATTGTAATGTTAATATAAACTCATCACATGAGTTATATTGACAATCAATAGGAATACACAATTAACCCTTCTCATGTTCTAAATATTCATCTATATCTTCTGCCAAAATTAACCAAATTCTAACTCGCTATAAACATAAAATTTTTGCATTTTTAATGTTAGAGCATTTTGAAAATGATGTCATGCACTTCTCATTACACCGAGTTCTCTCTTCAAAAGTGCTTTAATTTGTTGAACTAAATACTAATATTTGAAGCAATTAAATAAATCTTTATAAAAATGAAAGTGCCATTTTTAAATGCTGATAGGCAAAATGCTAATATCTTTCAATTTTAAGATTATCTTAACGACGAAACAAAGTTTTCCACATTTAACAAAGTTGAATAATAACTTTATTTATTAATAAAGACAAATGTATTCCGTTTATAAATTTATTGAGAAATTTACAAAATAAGTTTCACATAAATGAAGAAAAAAAAAACATTAGACAAACAGGTTTGAATAAAAAGAAAAAAATTCTTGTAAATGATTGAATTAGAAAAGCTTTGATAACAACAAACACGTCATTACGAAATTGATAGTTCTTTAAGAAATTTATTATATTGGTTACTTTCATTATGAAATACAATAACAATACACATGCATAAACGTACACAAGATTTTCTTTTACTAAGCTTAAATTTTAATAAACATAGTGCTATATATGAATCTGCTGTGCAATAGAAAAATCAACGAAAGCAATAAAAAATTCAAAATTGTGATTTTGTTTTACATATTTGTCATTTTTGTATTATAAGTTACTTAATGCAAAAAAAAAAGGAAAAAAAATCAAAATTCTATTAGTTTTTGAAATTTTATTTTAACGTTTATAACATTAGCAGTAAAAAGGAAATAATTGGCAAACCACTTTTCTCGAAAGCTATCGCGAAGCACTTACTTTGTTTTAACAATTGCACGGCAAAATAAAGCTTAACAATGTTAATAAAGCACAAATAATGCTACATAAACACCACTGTTTGAGTTCTGTAATGAAGATCCTTCCTCATTGTTAAAACAGAGGAGATACAGGAAGAAAAAAAATTATGAACTAGTTAGAAAAACAGCCATTAGGGGGAACATTGTTGAACAAGGTTTCAAAACTGAATAAAGGAGATTAAGAAACAAATGTGGTGTAAAAATAAACATAACAGATTCCACTTCACAGTTCAAAAGCATGAAAACCGACAAAAATAAAAAAGCAAAAATTAGAAACTTCTCAGAAATGTTAGAGATTACTTTTAAAATAAGATAACAAACGAAAAAAGCTAAAATTAAAGTACTTTCTGGGCTACAGAAGAAAAAAAATAATATTTGATAAGGAATGAAAAAGACGACGCACGATCTTATGTCAGCTAAGGACAGGATGGACTTATGTGCTCGTATAGTATAAGATATGTTTGTCCAGACATTAGCAAAGAATGGTGGTACAAGAAGATCTTGAACTACTTTTATTAATCTAATATTCCCTTTCCGACCTGTTTTCAAACAAAACTCCAATACTATTAAAGGTAGATTCAGCATTATAACATTTTCCAGGAACGGGTGACCTATTGAAATAGTTAGAGACTTTGCAATAAGTTGTTAAGAGAAAACCTTAACTAAAATACAAAAATATGAAGGAAAAAAAATAGTAAATTGACACAATAGTGTGTGGAGGTGTCTTCATCAGCAATTGCAAGAATAATCTTGTTTCAGAACAAGCGTCACACAACTGCATTGAAATAAAAGCAGTGGATTTATTTTTTTAAAAAAAGAAAAATCAAAAATCATCATTTAACTCTGGTATACTCACTGAAAAAAGGTTCTGATCTAGTTGCCCACATTTGGAAAAATTAAGTGAAAAAAGAAAAGACACATATTTCAGACTATCTAATTACGTGCAGCCACTTTTAATGACACTGTGACTCAAATGAAGTGTGACAGCATAAACTAAAACTACATTCATAAAGTACATGAAGATTATTTACTTCATTGTGTTGAAAGGCAACTTTGTTTTCTGTCTTTCTTAGAGTCTGTTAGAAATACAGTAACAGACATAAAGAAATGGAAGACACAACAGATTGCCACGAAGCTATTAGTAACAATCACAATCACATCTATATTGTGTGCTGAATAAAGAATACATCTCACTGATTAACATTTAACACTGAATTCTGCATTCAATATGTCACATTTGATCATCAATAAAAGTAAAATACACATAATTCAATCATATGTGGACACAAAACTTTAGTGAGTTTACATATTTGTTATCAAAAAGATACCAAATAAAATGTTTACAGAAACAGTCTATGTTAGTCTGTCTATTTTATTATTGAATATTATGGCTGTCGCTTAATTCAAATGAAAGAAAAGGCACAAATGATAACAAACTTAAGAAAACTTTTTCATATTAAATTCAAACATTTATCAAAATGAAATTCCGAAATTTAGAATACCTCATTTAGCAACTTAACTAAAGGTAGTTTAAGATAATAAGAGTTTAATTATGTAAAATTTTAGAACCAGTTTTTCTCTCACTTCAGTGCGTCTAAGTGACTCTTAATAAAACAGTTTAATTGAAATTTTTTTTTTGATGTTTCATACCAAATTCTAGAATAAGTAGATGACGATTATAAAAACTTATACTAAATTTACCACCTTCTCGAAATGTAGAAAAAAAAAGCAATATATAGTAAAAATAACAATAAAAATCATACAAAAAAGCAACAAATAATAATGTGCAATGATAGAAATATTAAGTATAAAAAAACAAACAATTATTTATAAATAGCTACAACAGAAAAAACACTACAAAAATAATATCTTACTTAATCCCAGTGTACTAATTACAATAGCCAATATACAGAGTGAACAACAATGTGATATCATCACATATAATAAAATACACAAGTCCAAAATATATATAAAAAATAAATGAATCAATTACAAGACTAATGTTAAAATTAATTAGATTTAAAATCTCATGATATCTCTTAATTACAGTTCCTAATGATTTCTCTTAATTATACACTTCTTCAATAATTCTTACGATTGTATCAATAAATTTAAAAAGTATTACAGTTTGTTTTTATTTTAGACATTAAATCAAATAAAAAATTCATACATCATGATTCAGAATAAAACAAAATACAAAGACTCATCAAAGAGCATTCAGAAACAACCGCTGCTCTTAACAAATGGTTTTGTTCCTCCATAAAACACGGAATAGGTATTGGAAATTAGTATTTAAAAGAGAAATAAGCATATGACTCCGACCAAATATCCATCTAGAAATAAGTTAGAGCAAAGTAGTGATCAAAATGGGAATGGAATGTCTTTGATGACTTTTAAGCTTCATCATAAGGGGTCACACTACTCTTGCAACATTTTTTAAAAATAAAAGTATAATCATTTTGTGGATGCTTTACATGCTCATTTAACTTATAATCAATAATTTATTTTCAAAAAAGAGCTAAACTGTTTAATATTTTTTAAAAATGTTAAAAAAAATTGAAAAAAATTCATCATTTTTAAATTTTTAAGGCTTTTTTATTTTAATATATTTTCAAAATTTTTTTTTTCTTAGTGCTTACAATATTTATCTTAGCAATTTTGTGCATTTGTTTTTTGATATATAAATTAAAAAATTTTTTTATAGATTATTTTGTAAAAAAGTAGAAGAAAAAAGATTAAAAATTCCTGTTGGGTATATGTAATATGCCGTAAAAATTGTAATACAGTAGACGCCGCTTAATGTGATCACGGTTAATGCTATCAATGGTTTAATGTTATCAAAATCGCTTAGACCCGTCCGCTTATATCAAAATACATTGAAAAATCATCGTTTATTGTAATCAAATGTTCGTCTATTGTTATCAGTTTATATGTAAATTTTATTTTCCTGAAATCAATAAAAACAAGAAGGAAAACTTTTTTTTTTGTTTGAAGTTTTTCCTGAAACTTACAAAAAGTCCAAACGGGGCTCATATTTTATCTTTTAAACATGTGTTATTAGGAGGGGAGCTCCTAATCACTCTATTTTGCTATTTTCGGTCAAGCATTGTAAAATTCCATAGCAATGTGTGCGATTTCAAATTCCCCGAAATCCTAAATAAAGAGAAAAGAAGACCTGCCAGTAACGAGTTAATGTTTGCCACGAGCCCCTTTTTAGAAGAACTAAATGTGACAGATGATGTGTCCCAGCCACTATGGGAAGGGTTTAAGGGGTGACCTTCAAAAGAGAACATTGTTTCGGGAATGCCACTTGATCTTGCCAGGTCGCTTACCGAGTCGCTATTCGTCAAACAATAAAATTGGGGAACAATGTTAATAAAGCACNACGCATGTAGAAGAAGATCAGCATAAATTTTCACTTTACCATAGTTCATACGGTTTGTAGCCTGATTTGTTTTTTATAATGGAAAAGAAAAGGAGAGATTTTACTATGAAGGAAAAGGTTGACATTTTAAATCGTTACAATAAATTGCCGAAAATGAGCCAAAGGAATGTTGCTGTTCAATTTAAAGTTTCGCAGCCGCTTTTGTGCAAAATTTTAAAAAATCGTGAAGATATCGTAAAAAAGTGCACTTTGAACGAAAATCTGAATTGTAAAAGAAATCGAGATGGAAAAGACAAAGAGGTTGAATCTGCATTAAAACTCTGGTTCACAAACGTTCACGAAAGGGGCGCTTGCGTAAATGGTCCAATTTTGCGCCAAAAAGCTGAAGATTCAGCTGCAAAATTGGGTAAAGGAAACTTCATAGCCACAGAAAGATGGTTCCACTGCTGGAAAAAGAGGCAGAACATACTCTTCCGAAGGACATACGGTGAACAAAAAGATGCCGATAATGTAGCCGCAGATCAGTGGTTTAAAGAAGAATGGCCTAAATTTATTGCCACATATTCACTTGAAGATGTATATAACGCTGATGAAACTGGCCTATATTTTCGTGCGTTGCCTGAACACACCTACATGTTTCAGAAGGAAAGTACTCAAGGGTGTAAAACCTCCAAGGAAAGCCTAACTTTGCTATGTTGCGCTAGTATGACCGGCACTAAAGAAAACCTTTTGGTGATTGGAAAAAGTAAGAAGCCTCGCTGTTTCAAAGGTGTGAAAAATCTGCCCGTCGATTATTTTGCCAACCAAATGGGATGACTACCACCATCTTTAACGAATGGCTGTTGAGATGGGACAAGCGGCTAAAACGGATGATACTCCTGCTCATAGACAACTGCACTGCGCATGATGCAACTGTTTCATTAAAGAAGATAACCACCAAACACCACTTCTTTAATTCAACCGTGTGACCAGGAAATTATCTGCATCTTGAAGTCATATTACAAAAAGGAAATGCGTTCAAGGATCTTAGAAAATATGGAAGACCAAGATGCTGAAGATCTGAATGAGAACGCTCTAGCCAAAAGAACAAATGTTTTGGATGCCATACATTTGTTAACAATGTCATGGAATAATGTCTCGGAAAAAACAATTCGAAATTGTTTGTCATGGAGGATTTTGTCAACCAGAGGACAACAATGCTGCTGTGATGAAATAGATGGAAGACGTTTTCAATCCCCCGCCCGATATGAATGCCGAGGATTTTGAAGCATGGATGGAGATCGACGAGAAGGTCGAGACTTCTACTTCGTTAAATGATGAGGACATTTGCGAAGCCGTATGTGTCAAAGATCCAGCTTCGTCACAGGATTCTGATGCCGATGATGAACCCGAAAGTGCTATCGAGGACAAAATTCCGACTCCTGCTCAGATGAGGGAGGCACTTCGAATCTTACGTCTAGGTGTGCAAAACAAAGCCGACGCGGAACACTTTCAAAAACATTATGATAATGAGCGATTCGTAAATGACTTGCTTCGAAAGAATGCTAAACAATCGACAATTGATGATTTCTTTTTCAGTTAATAATTAAACTTTTGTATTGTTTTCTGCAGTTCATCATTAAATATGTAAGTATACTAACTAATTCTTTTTCTTTAGTGTACATTAATTTCTATTAAATACTATAGAGTTTTACAGCAACAACTCTTAATTTAAAATAATTTTTATTTTAATACGTATGTAAAAAAAAAATCATTTTTCAGCTTAAATTTTTTGTTTTGTTTACTGTATTGTAATCAGTCGGTTATTGTTATCAAATCACGTTCGTCCCGATGTGATCACATTAAGCGGCGTCTACTGCACCTCATAAAATGCTTATTCCATGCACAGTTTAGATAAGTGTATTATACTTGAGATAAAAAAGTTAACTTCAAAGGTTTATCTTAAATAGAAAAAAATTCCTCAGGGATTTAATTAACAAAACACAAAATTACCATCGATGAGAAAAAGCACTATAAAGTCTGTCTGCTGATCAATTTTCTGTTTTAGGGCAATCTAAAAGGATTCATAACTTTTTTAAAAATGTAGATAGAGAGATTTTTTTTCCAGTGCATTAGAAATAGTTTAAAGTTTTATTATAAGTAAAAAAAAAAAAATCGATATTTTGGTCAGTGTTCGGGCGATCCCTTAGGAAGAAATAAAGTGGTTTTAGAACACTCAATAATGAAATTTCGGAACTCTCAGTTAATTTTAGTTTTGGACCAATAACGTACATGGTTTTGTTTATAAGGATTCTGAAATAAATATTAAGAAAGGTCATTACAAATACTCCATATTATGAAAAAACCAACAGCATCTTTTATCATGCAAAGTTACAAATAAATGTTAGCGATGAGACCTAACTACAAAAGAGGAAACTACAAAAACTTACGATTACAATAATTAATGATTTGGGAATTATTATAACCAAGACATTTTATAAACTTACTTTCCTTTAGAAATTAAACTTTGTTTTTTTTTCTGCTTACATTATAGGTTAAGGGGAAAAAAATTTGAGCAATTTTAGGGTGGTTCGAAACATTTCTAAAAATGAGATTCAGTATTCTCTAATATGTAAACCAGAATGGTTAATAAAATAATATAAAAATTAAAACTGAATTAGAACAAATTAATAATAATAATACATTAGAGCATAGGTTCCCAAAGTGGTCCATGTGGACCCCCAGGGGTCCATAGGAGACCACACGGGGGTCCACGTAGACATGAAAAGAAAACAGGGGTTCACGAAAAATTTCTGGTTTTCATAATAAAGAACAAAAATTTTGACTTGGATTTACCTATCTATGTAGGCAGGTAGCATCATTCACTAGGTAGGTAGGTATTAAAAAATATTCGAGACTCAGTTCAAACACAGAATTGAATAGAACAATAGATAACAGTACAAGAGTACACCACATGTCGCGACTTGCAAGTGCCGCCCGTGCGCCCGCTCGCATTTAAATACCCTGCATGATGACTTCAAAAATAGATTTGAAGATATTCTGACGATGGAAATACCAGCATGGATCATGGAGCTACTTGAGCTCAGCATCAACGAGGAACTGCCAATTTAAATTTAAAAGGCTGACATTTAAAAAGGGCTATCAAACATTTTGGCCGCAGGCAGAAATCACCGAAAAATATCCTGGGCTGTGGGAAATCGCGAGAAAATTTTTGATAGCGTTTCCCTCGTCATATCTTGTCGAAAGAAGTTTTAGTGCTGTTTCCAACCTATTAACAAAAAAAGGAGCAGATTGATCATCACAGAACGGAGAGAATTGAGATTACTTCTTGCAAAACTGAAGCCAAATATTGATCATTTGCTGTCAATTCATCAAGTACATCCGTCTCATTAAAAGTATGACTATTTTTTATTGTTGATGCACATTTCAGAGTTCATTGTTGATTTTTTGTCAATTGTTGATTGTTTGAAATAATAAATGTTTATAATTTTGTATAACCGCAAGTATTATTTTAATAAATAGGACACAAGAAAATTCGCTATTTTTTTTTCTTCTTAACACCCCCAATTTAGGGTGATATTTCTTAGGAGTTTTGCGAATACAGTAGAAATGTAGCAGCAGGGGGTCTACCAAAAATAGTAAAACTTTGAAAGTGGTCCACGAGAAAAAAAAGTTTGGGAACCTGTGCATTAGAGTAATAAAAATATATGAAAAAATATCAAAATGATTCTTTTGTACATTTTTTATTTGAAAAAAAAAATATTTTCATATTTTTTTTAAAAATTTCAAATGAAATTTTTAGCACTTTCTTAAAAAAGTTTCATTAAAAAAATGTTACAAAATAATTTATGTGATTTTTTTCCTCATATTTATTAAACAATTAATATCTAATAAGACATTAAATTTTTTTCAAACTAATCAAACATTCATAATCACTATTATATGCCTAAAATAAATAAAATTTAAAAAAATTATGAAAATAATAGTAATTAAAGTTATTTAAATACAAAAAGACCAAATATAACACTCAAGCATTTTTGGCTTAAAAAAAGATTTTTTTTTACATATATATATAAAATTACGCATTATTAGACAAAATAATCATCATTACCTTTATTTTAAAAATTTCTTCAAAAAAATTTTTTCTACGAAAAGATTTAGGAATTATTTTTTGAGGAAAAACGATTAATACCTGCAATTTTTCTTTAGCTCACATAGTAAGACTCAAAACTCAATAACCACTATTTGTGATTTATTTATTTTAAATTTTGATTAACTTTTTAAAAATACTAGCAGAGAATTTTCTACTCGCAAGAAATATTTTAAAAATATTAAAGCTCTTTTTGTCATAAATTAAAATGAAATAAAATAAATAAAAAATTTGCATTTAACTACAAAAAATGCATCTTAACTAAATATGCCATTTATATGCTAGACACGATACTAATATACTCTACAATATAAAATTTTATACCTATACAAACTTTTCTAACATCTGATGATTTTACATTTAAACATTTTATAAACATGTAATCAACAACTTAACAATGTGACATAAAAATCCATCAATAGTATTAAGTCACATTCATTTCTTTGTACTGAGCAAATACAGCAACCTGTGAAAAGAAAAGAAAAAAAATACATCATAAACAATATAAACATATAATAAATAATACAGTAAATAAAATATATAGTAAATACGTGAAAGTTTATGAAATTAAATTTAGTGCAGAATATTAAAATTAGAGAAATTAAAATTATGCATGAAATTATTATCAATAAAAAAATAACACTTAGATAAAGGAACTATATTAAAAAATCAAAGAACACTGATATTTTACATTTCATTATAAAATGATAAAAATTAAATTGATTACTTGGAATCAATGTTCCAGTTTTTTTGTTCCTGTCAAATCATTTTTGTTTTTTAATTAATTTTTTTAGAATTGTAAAGGAGTTAACGTGACAAAATACACGTGCAGCCTTTCATTAATCTAGCTGCTGTGCGAGTGGCCTTTTACTCAAAAAGGTTGTGCACCCCTAAAGTTAGGAAACATAAAAAAATATCAAAACAAAACAAATAAGTAGATTCTAATGTATTCAAGTTTTTGTGAGTGGCTCTTATTTAAAGATCTCTATTAGAAGATCTCTAAAAGAGATCTACAATCTTATGTGGCAGTCATTTAAAATTGAAAGTTAAATTAGAAAAAAAGAAGTTATTTTAGAAAAAACTAAGCATCTCAAGCATACAAACCTCTTCTCATTTTTAAAGCTAATTTTTATGATTTAAAATTAAATGCAGACCTAAACAAAGAACAATATTGTTCATTTATTTAAAATAATTCTAACATTCATAATTGGTAAATTTGATTTAACACGTTAATAAATGGTCACTTTCATTAACGCTACGTTTTATTTATCCATCTAGTTTTTAGATAGTCAACACAAGTGGTACTTTCCAAGAAAATGATACTGAGTAAAACCTCCGTGGCAGAAATGTGGTGACACGTCGACATTGTCGCAGAACGGTACAGTGTTCTTGCAGAAAGATTTTTCTTTTGAGAAGTAAAAATTTTTAGTTTTCTTTTCTACAAAAATTTACACATAATATTTGAACCATGCATTTAGATAATTACTTTTTGTCACGCTCAATTTACACCGATAGTATCGTAAATCAATTTAATGTTCCAATTCTATATTCGGTACTTATTGATATTTATTTTTACATGGTTTTTAAATATCTCAATATATTTCAAACCATATGGAAAATTTGAATCATGCATTTGAGTATTTACTTTTCACGGTAAGGATTCTATCTAATTTTCGGCAGCTATTGATTTCTCAATAGTTTTCAAATCCGATATTTTTTATACAATATTACGATTATTTATTACGCATTCGAGGAGTCCATTTCGTGATTTCGTGGTTGACCTTTGTTTTTGATAACAGATTACATGATTTTTAATAATTTTTTTATTGTGATGATTATTTATGAAATGCGAAAAAGGAAATAATTTGTGCGTTACTCCCCTCCCTAACAAAATGCAAGAATATCACCCATAAAATTAGAATAATAATAGTAGCATAATAGTAGTAGAATAATAAGTAGAATAATAGTAGAATAATAATAATAGAAAGATAAATAATAGTAGCTGGCACCTTTCCTAAAAATAAGAAGAAAAAGATTCTTTAAGATCCCTAAATTAAGAACTGACACAAAGCATTACACAACAGGATTTTTGATTAGAAGAAAAAACTTGGTCTTTCTCAGGTTTTTCAGACACACTTCATTAAAAGTTTGAAAGCCAGAGTTAAACAAAATACTTGATAACTTTAAACAGAACATTAAACTTTGAAAGCACGGGAACAAAATCTTCTAGAATGGAAAACAAACATAAAAAATTCCTTTTAAACATTTTATATAAATTTAAGAAATAATAATAATAGCTTCAAAGTTGCACTATAATTGAAATAAAATTTTACTGTAAATTGTTTCTATGCATTTAAAGATGCTATAATGAAGCCAGGTTAGATACTCAGTTATATACTATAGTCTCTGATTATAGTTATCAGTGAATGTTTTTTGTTGTCTCGTCTGAACTGCTTTTAAACTATTTTTGTTTTATATGTACACAGCTGAGAAATTTGTTTAGAGTGGTCTCAAAGACAACATTTTTAGTTTATGTTCAGAATTACATAATTATGACTTCAAATTATATACTACACATCATTAAGAAGCATTTAAAATTATTAACTGTCTGTAATGTATAATGCAAATGGTTTAAAAAACAAGGGAGATCGAATAGGTTGCACAAAAATTTAAACTTTAAAATGCGACCTTCTTCAGAAATGAAGGAAATCAAAAAGTTGTACACCTAAAAAATTTTCAGGACAATGAAAATTGCAAAGGTAAATAACTAAGAAATTCATTATGGAAAGACAATCACTTCATTATGTGGAAAACATTTTGAAGGCATTTATTAACAATTTTGTTATAAGACATAATTCGCTGTAAGGAAACTTGTTGTAGAGAGATGACTTAATTAGATAGTTAATAATTTATTAAGCAAAAGATGTATTTTTGCTATCACCATTTTTAAGAATATGAATGAATTTTAAATTCAAAAATTTTGGATATAGTTTTTTTAATATCGTTAGCCCTTGTTTATAGTAGATTTATTGTAGGGATTACAATAGCAAAAGTAATCTGTAATGAAACGAGTTTTAAAAACTAGGAATAAAATAAAATTCATTCATTGCAACAAATTTCTTGCAGTCATTTCAAGTTTCTTTCAGTTTTGTCCTTTTCTCTGTAAGAGATAAGGTTTCTTTAAGAATTAAAACAAACCTGCCTTTAAAAATAATAACAGGGTGGCCACTCAAATCAGGTTTCAAATTTCCCTGATTTTTCCAGTTAAAAGTTTTTAAAATTTCCAGGTCAGCATGTTTTTTCTTCATCTTACAAAGTGTAGACAGGTACAAGAAAAGTGCCAATATTTAAAAGTATTTTATTTAAAATGTTGTGTTTCTAATATGTCATCTTAAAAAAATTAGACTAAATTTATTTAAATATTTGGCAAGATTTTGTTTTTTAGTTTTTAATGTACAACATTAATTTTTAAAAAATTATGATATGTAGAGAAAATAATATGTTGAGCTTGTAAAATATATTGTTTTATTGAAAATGTATTTAAACTTTAAGTAATTTTTTTAATTTTACACTTTAAGTAATTTTTCTCAAAGTATACCAAAAAATGGCAAAAAAAACCTTGGATAAATATTTTTCTATCGTCTATTTATTGCTTTAGTTTTGTTATTTAATTATTTTTCATTTAATTTTTTATTTATTTGCAATTTAGTATCAAACTTATAATAGCAAAATTATCTTTCAATAATTACTCGCTATCTCTGTATGATTTTTTCTTTTTTATAGTTTAAACGGCTCGTAGTCGTAATAAATCAATAGACTGCATTTGAAAGTTGATTATTTGTCATCATAAGAGGTAAATGAGTAATGAATATTGCTATATTAGTTTATTTTGCCCTATTACACTGTGCAATATGTGAAAAAAATTCTTAAAAGAAAAATTTCATGTCTGAGATTAAAATTTGTGAAAAAATTCATAAATTCACATTTGAGTGTTGAAAAAGTTTCCATAAAACTTATTTTAAAAAAATATTTTGCTTGAATTCCAACCGAAAAAAAAAATTGTTCAGTACATTATTTTTTTCTTCAGACTTTTAAAAACTATTGTAGATGCAAAAGGAAACTCCACTAAATATTAATTTAACGAAAAATTAGAATATTTACTAATAGACAGAGATTTTTTCTAAAAGTAGACAATGACTTTTATGAGATAAAAGTTTTGTTATGTTTCGATTATTGATTTCTTAAAAAAAAAACGTTTGCTTTGTTTTTAAAACGTTCCATACAGTTTTGCTAAGAATAGAATATATTTTTTATTATTCAATATATATTATGAAATATTCATTTTAATAAATACATTCTTATTTCATATGTCATAAGTGTACGGACACTTTTGTGAGTCCCTGTTCATAGGTGTTATCACATTTCAATATAAAGCAGTTTAATTCTGTATTTTATCTAATTTCAATTATAATTCAATTATATCTAATCTTTATCAACTCCTATCCCTCCCTCCCTATAAATTTCAATTATATCTAATCTCTATCAAACCTAATATCTAATCAATTACATATAATCTTAATCTAATTCAATTATAATTCAAATACAATTATAAAATTCATTTATCATATTTTCCTTAAATCAACACCGAAAGTCAAATGTTTCAATAATGTTGTTTTGAATTGACATTACTATAGTTAGAGAACTAATAAGCAAAAATGAATATCGCAAATGCAAAATTGTCTAATTTCTTGTTGCATAATCTTTAGGAAAAATATTTAAAGAATTCCAATCTAAACACATGTTTTTTTAAGTTCAGTTTAATTGTTTTTACGACTAGAAACTTGTACCTATACAGTGAAACCCTACTTTTAAAAACTGAAGCAAATATCCTAACTCTTTCNCACGTGAGTGTACTTTCATCTTGAGTAGAAGGTCAAATCTACATGTATCTGAAACCATATGGACATACAATGCCATCTTTTGGAAGAAATTTCATTTTTTAAAACGTTCCGAAACGCTGGCACAAATAAGTGACGGTCGGGGGTTAACGAGAAAACTCTCTGACACGCGGGTGTGTCGGCCGGGAAGTGAGCGCGTTTCTTGCTGTCACATATATGTGACAGTCGGCTCGAAAGGGTTAAATCAACACCGAAAGTCAAATGTTTCAATAATGTTGTTTTGAATTAACATTACTATAGTTAGAGAACTAATAAACAAAAATGAATATCGCAAATGCAAAATTGTCTAATTTCTTGTTGCATAATCTTTAGGAAAAATATTCAAAGAATTCCAATCTAAACACATGTTTTTTTAAGTTCAGTTTAATTGTTTTTACGACTAGAAACTTGTACCTATACAGTGAAACCCTACTTTTAAAAACTGAAGCAAATATCCTAACTCTTTCTTATTTCAACTGTTTAGTGATACATTTCTGTCTAAAAAAGTTAAGTATCACATGTGACGGTAAAATAATTTAAAAAATTGGTAAAGTTAGAAAATTGGTAAATAATTTAAATAGGTAAAATTTTTAAAAAAATTAAGAAAAAATTTCCAGCTTTTCCTTAAAATTTTCTGATTTTTCCAGGCTTTTATTCAAATTTCCCCGATTTTTCCAGTAAAAAAATCCCTGATAATTCCAGGTCTTCAAGGTAAGTGGCCACCCAAAATTTAGGAATTTAAATTATACTATTATTTTGCTCGGTAAAAAAGTCTTAAGAGTGGGATTTCTAACTGAATTTAATAATGAAATTTTAGGGCATTAAAATAGTGGTGTGAAGATAATAAGGATAAGAAATAATGTTTTACAATAGGACATCTTCTGTTTTAATCTACATAAAAAATAAAACATGGATTCAGTTTTTTTTTTTTATTAATAACTTTCCAATCTCTGCTTTTTTTTTCTTTTTCTAGTAGTGATTAGACCAAGGAGTTTTCCCCAGGCATTAACACAACTCTGAATACAACTGAATCCAAATAAATTGAATAATTATTTTTTAAAAATAGAAAGTAAATAGAGAAGTTGCGAAGAAAATAAAAGGTATATTACATTAACTATAAAATGCCATTAATTATTATGAAGAGTGCTTAGATACAAGTGATTTATTTGCATGTTGAAATTGCAGAAGAAATTGCATGTTGCCAAGCACCAAAAAAAAAAACAAAAACAAGATATTTCTAAAATATGCAAAACAAAAAAGAATGCAATGATTCTAAGTGGTCTATACTACGTAATACTTCATAAATTGCATCATTGATTTTTCATAAACCGCAATCTCAGAAACAAACCAAAATAATAAATTTATTCTTATTGTTTTTAATGTTAATGCTTTAAATAATTTGAGAATAATTAAGTGTATATTTTTGGGTTTTAACTTATTTATATCTAAAAATTATTTTAAAGCATTAATATTGACAGGGTATCTGCTACATTTCAGATTTTCAAATTCATGACTTTTCAGGACTAATTCCACGAATTTTTCATGACTTAATGAAGTTACTATTTTCTCCCCCAAAAAAAATACAACAACAATAAATTTAAAAAAGCATTATAACAACATTAACTGAAATGATAGGTATAACCAAAACTGTTATACTCTGCATCTTTATATTTATAGATTTTAAACTTAAAAAACAGACTAAAGAAAGAGCAGAAGCAATAAAATAGCTGAAAAAAATACAAAAGCAAAAATTTTTTTTTTCTTCTTCTCTGCAGAATTATATTCCAAAGATATTTTTCTTGTTTGCCGGCTTGCTTCAGCTAGAATTTGAAATTGATAAGAAAAATAAAACTAATTATAACAAAAATTCTGAAATCACAATAGTCTAAAAGATAATTCGCTCTAGAAATGATGTTTTTTCTTTCATTTTTTAAAACAAAACCATAATTTTCAAAGAACATGATAAAACATTTTATATTTTAATAGAATATGACCGTGAGTGAGGATTTGGTTACAAATTCAGATATTCGGAACACCATTAAATGGGGGGAGGGGAGTAAATTCCATTTTAGAAATTCGATTTATCGGCAACCTAAATCCGTGACTTTCCTTGATTTTCTAGGTGCGCAGATACCCTGTATTGATCTGTATCAAATACACATTGTCATACTTAGTATTAAATGCAAAATGACATAAATTCTGTAAAATGCAAAGCCTGAATAACAATAAATATCCTTTTTAATAATTTTCTTCTGTTTAAACAAAAATGATGCATTTGTTTACCTTATTTTTTAGTTGCTGACACAGCTGTAATGAGACAGTAAAGAGGACTAGTACTTCACTTAACCATGGGACAGAGGATTCTGCCTGCACAAGAAAGAAGAAAAAAAATAATAATTTTGAAGCAAAGAGATGACAAACTTCTTTTTTTCTAAACAAAACAAATTAAATATAGAGCTGCTGTAAAATCAGATGGAAACACACATAAAGCCAAAGAAACCATAATTCATTGGTTTTTACTCAAATACCAGAAATAGCTATACTTTGAACATAAACATCTGACATATCCTCTTTCTAGCAAAATCAATCAAATGGTGCAAATCAAACAAATTAAATAAATATTAAAGATCTCAAGACTCACCAAACTGTCTAGGGAGTCTTAAGAACGAGAGCCATACTTTTTAAAAATTACATTCATAAATATTCAGTTATTACTTTTACAAATTTAAACATCAAAGTTTTTTAGTGTTAATATCATGTAGCACACAATAAAAGAAAAAATTTAATAATCATTTTATACACAGTCCTTTCCACTGAATTGAATAACCTACTTATATGAATAAAACAAAACGGAACCAAATGCTTTTCTATAAAATCATCTTTCCAGAAATGGCTACTTCAATTATTTCAATCAATCCAGTCCTCCTTTAATCACATAAAAAAATAATGTCAACACAAAAAACGACAATGTCAACTTTCATCTATGAAAAGATACTCCACCATAGAATTGAAATAATATTTCATACATACTAGTGAATTGGAATTATAGTTTTGGAGTGGTAGATACACTACAAAGATAAAAAGGAATTTCTTTTTAACAGCCACAATTTTTTTTTATATTGGACTGTATATTTAGCACTTAAAAGTAAAACTTATTTAGCACTGTAAAAACTGTGGAGTAATATCTTTGATGTGGAATAACCCTAAGAGTTGGGTTAAGGAACACTCTCTTACAACAAATTGAGTTTTCATATGCAACTTAAAAGGTGCTCTAAACAACACAAGCTCAATGCTTTTACACCATGCGTTCCTCCGACTCTTGGCACATTTTGATTTTGCCTGTAATTGTTTACAATCGATACCGAGTGGTCCTCAGAGTTGCTTTTCATCTGCAAAAATTAAAGTTTGCTATCAAATTTTGTTAGCAGCTATTAAGTGACCAAAGGGCTTTTAACCTCTAACCCTTCATTTGCCCAATTTTCAGAAAGTGGAAAACTAAGTCAGTTAAATGTGTTTTAAAACAGCCTTCAGTTATAGATTTCTTTGACAGGAAATAAATTGTGTTATATTCATATAAATCGTGTATACTTTTCATTATCATGGATTTTTTTTTTTATAAATTAAAATGTCATTTGTATTTTATGATACTAATACTAACAAATCTAATTATAACTGTTTATTCTTCATTAAAATGACTTATTCCCCCTCAAAACATAATATGATGTATATTGAATGCCATTTCAAAGAAAAATTTATAAAAACATAGCATTTAAGATGAATTCCCCTCATAAAAAAATAACCTGCTTATTTGAATACAATTGGCTGGAACCAATGGTATTTCTTTATGCAAAGATACCAAAGTATTTGAGTGATTTGGGAAAAGTTTGTCCGGTTTTAGTGTTTTTCTAAACTAAGAACTACCAATCATTTAGCTAGATTTTTAATCTTTTTATAATGGATGGTTATGCTACATTTATTATGCAAAAAAAAAAAAATGGAAATCTAGCTAAATGAAAACAGCATAATTGTTAAGTCCACAATGTGTCCTGGGGCAGAATTTTTTCGGGCTTTTTGCGAAAAATCTGACTAGTATTAATATCTTTCTGCAAGATACTTTTAGTAATAACAAATATACATGTTACCAATTTAAAGTAACAAAAGAGTGAACTACATAAGAAAAAAAAACTTTCCGGAAAAAATAGTGAAATTTTTTAAAATTGAATAGGTAATTTTTTTTCTTATTCCAATATTATTATCCCAAAACAAGTCAATACCTCTGGGGGTACTGAATTGGAGATTGATCGTTCTCTGATTCAGGTCAAAATTATGATCTGTGGATGAATGAATGGATGTATGAATGAGTCTGCCCTAAAAACGGGAGTGGCAGAAGTTGAATTCTTGGCCATAGATGGTACCACTAGAAAACAAGAACCAGGGGTCTGTCCAGGTCGAATTTACTACCGTTTAGCGGTACCTTCACAAATTCAATTTTAGGTAAAACGGTAGTTTCACAAATTCAACTTTAGGAAAAACGGTAGTTTCACAAAATGCTTTTTCTTAAAATTTTACTTTTGTATCCCTTAAGAAACAATAAATCAATATTTTTACCATGTTTTTCTATTGATTTTTTAATATAATTTTTAATTTTTCACAAATTATGTCTAAATTTTCACAAAATAGGTACCTTTCAGAAAAACCTAGACAGACCCCTGAGAACAATTGCACCCCTCTGCCTTAACAGGCATACGAAATCACCACCATTAATTCCGCTAAATTAATAAATAACATATTAACACCAAAAAGTACATCCACAATTGTGAGTAGCATAAAAATTTTCATAAACAAATACAGTAAAGAATGAATACTCTATTGGACTCTTAAATAATATGGATTTTTAAATGCTGTATAAATCTTGGCTTTGAAAAATCTTTACTTTTTGCTGCTTTACAGACATATGATTGCAAAAAGAAATTATCAAAAAAATTTTCTCAATTTTTTTTTAAAAGCAACTTAGTAGCAGGTTATTTCCGATTTGTCACCTGGCAAATTTATTAAGTCCCGGTAAAGATTCATTGGGTGAGGAGCAGGGGCGGATCTACTTATGGGCGCTTTGGGCTGCAGCCCAGGGCCCCGTGGATACAAAAGGGCCCCAGTCCCCACTGAAAACAAAAGGTGATATTTTGAATTAAAAAAATATCTAATATTAAAAAAAAAATTTATTATAAGGTTGGCAACCCTAAGATCAATCAACCCATGCATGTGCGCGTCTATAAAACGGAACGGGGAATTACCCGTCGCTTGTTTTTGGTCAGTGTATTTTTTCGCGTCTATTATGGGGGACTTCCCGCAGCGCCGCTTAACGCCCGATGCAATTTTGTTTTTTTCCCACACTTCTGTTCTCGTCGTCAAAGTGACAAACTTGTTTAGTTTACTAATAACTGTCTTGACTACCAGAAACCCCCTGATCCCACTGAAAACTATATTGGTGTTCAGCAAGAGGACGGTAATACCGAGGCGGAAAGAAATTTAGAGAATATTAAGTTTGAGAAATATGTTGACGTGGGCTTGTGGTCAGAATTGCTAAATAATGATTTTATTAATGACATACTCTCACATGAAATGACTGACTTTCAAAATAAAGATCCGAAAAATATATATTCAGCTTCAATAAAGAAATACAAAGAACAAAACAGAAAATTTTCAAATAGGTATTTCATTAAGAAAAGGAAAAATGGTCAATCACTGGAAAGATCTTGGTTATGTTATTCAACCACGGTTGGTACTGTTCTTTGTTTGACTTGCAAATTTTTTTCTAAAATTCCTTCTCAATACACAACCGGATTTTCTGATTGGAAACACATAGGAACTTGTTTAGAAAATAATGAAAATTCTAATGAACATAAGAAATCAATGTTAGTGTGGTTGACACGTGAAGGCAACAAATTATTTGTGAAGGCAACTAGTTAATTGTATCATTAAAAGACTTCGCGAACAACATATGGCACTAATCAGATCGAAAGCTAAAAAATTAAGTACTAGTGTGGGAATAGAACAAGAGACGCATTACTCCAAAATTTTCAGATAAGTCTAGATAAATTCTCAGTCTACAGCGCAGAAAAATTTAAAAGAGACACGCTTAACGTTGCCTTGGATAAGCTGATTATGGATTTAAACAAAAGGAGCCAAGTCTATGAGATGTATAGCAAGAAATTCAAATTTTTAATGAATTTGCAAGACAAAACTATGGAAAACATAGATCTGGAAAGTGTACGTAATATTGTTGATTATTATCCAGATGACGCAGACGAGCATTTAGTGAATGAGTGCATTCAGTTAAAATCTTATTTACTTCAATCTAAGCCAGAGTCTTACACCTATTGCAGTGAAATTTTTATGCTAATTTATGAAAAGATATTTGCTGATGTTTTCCCAAATTGCTACACTATCTTAAAGATTTTCTTAACTTTGCCAATCACTAGCTGTGAAGCTGAGCGCTCTTTCCCCAGGATGTCATATATAGAAAACAAATATAGGACAACAATGTCGAACCATCGACTAAATCATTTATCAGTTCTTTCCATAAATTGTGATTTAACGAAGGACTTACAATGTGATGAACAAATAAAGGAATTTGCAGCACAAAAAGGCAGAAAGGTTGCTTTATAATTTATATAACACTAGGAGGCTTCGCCCCCTGCTCGCTGGCGCTCGCCAAACTCCGGAACTGCTTTTGCAGTTCATTTCGGAATCCGATGCTAGCTTTGCTCGCGCATTGGATACGTTCTTAACGTCTAGCTTTTGTATACTTTTTTGTATACTTTTTTGAACACTGAAGTTCCGAAAACTTTAACTCTAGAAAATTCTAAACCTGTGCATTTCAATATTAATTTGAAATTGCAAACAGTTCACATATTTTTCTTAATCACACTATTCTAAATTTCAGTTGTTGAGAAAAGTAACTTTTGAAAGCTTTGTTTTAAAGTCTTTCCCACCAGAGGGCTAAAACCATGTGTTGTAAAACAATATGAAATAGGACTGAAAGCCGGATGTAAAGCATCGGCTTCGATGAAGATAATTTTGTGAGAATTGTTTTGATAATTCGGTGAGAATTCACCCGATTAGACATATGATATGCTCACTACGTGCTCTTGCGCGTCGAAGCCTATCAGTTAAAACGTATTAGCGTTTTATATTTATATAATATAGATCAGCCATATGATGCTCATTACGTGCTCTTGCGCGCCGAAACCTGTCAATTAAAAATGAAAACTGTTGCCAACGCGAGAAAAGAAATATCATCGGTTTTATTGATACATACGTATTAGCGTTTTATATAATATAGATAACTACGCATAACCTGTCAATTTCTTTTGCAATAATGTTGTACAGTTGCTGTTTGTATAGACAAATAAAAATAGATAAAACTATTTTATTGTCCTATTTTTTTCTATATACTTAACTACATCACTATAGAAAACAGTTTTTTGATAAAATGGCTATTAGGGCCCCAAAGTAGTTTCAGCCCAGGGCCCCACAAATTCACGATCCGCCCATGGCGAGGAGGAATCCCTCAAGCTATATATTCTGATAATGCCTTTAATGCAACGAGTAAGGAGCTCTTTGAATATTAAGACTGTTCTAACTGCATAGCTACCAACAAGGACAGGAAAAAAATCCAGTAGATTTTACGAAATGATAATTTTTGCATAATATACTAAATATTTTACACGTAGGGAATTTTAGGGATTTTTATAGCCATCAAAATAAAAAAACTTCAATATTTTCCAGTTATGATTGACGTTAAACATGCTTGAAACTTTATGTATTATGTTTACGCATAATTTCGAATATTATTGGCATTTAATTCCTCAAAGATAGTTAAAAGATGCTTTTAATTAATTTAATAACAGAGTACTAAATAAAAATAAATTGAACATTTTAGACTAAAAAAAATTTTTGAACTGCCTTCTATAAATGAGGTTCACTTCATTATGTATTAGCAATACTTATTTAAATATTTTAGCAAGCAAGCAATAAGCTGTACAAAAATTCTATTTCAATAGGGAATTTTTTTAGGAAACTTACTCAATTTTAGGGAATTTTCTAAAATGTACAAAAACCAGGAGAATTTTAATTACACCAATAGATCAGGAGAAACTGGCAAAATCCAGTAGATTAATTAAATTAATATCCGACCAACAATAAGGTGAAGCAAGTACCACTAAATTCGTTTTGAAGTAGATGGGCAAAAGAATATTTGTAAAAACTAACACAAAGTTAGAAACACAAGAAAGTTACCTAAGATAAAAGAAACAGCGGTAGTACTTCTCCAAAAAGAGCTTCATTCTCACCTAATGTGGGAAAAAAAAACTCTTGTTCTCAAGGCAAGANTGGCAAAATCCAGTAGATTAATTAAATTAATATCCGACCAACAATAAGGTGAAGCAAGTACCACTAAATTCGTTTTGAAGTAGATGGGCAAAAGAATTCATTCTCACCTAATGTGGGAAAAAAAACTCTTGTTCTCAAGGCAAGAGAGAGTTGTGAGAACTGTCAATTTGAGAAGCGGGGACAAGATCTTGTTGCGTTCTCTAAAAGTAGTCATTCCCATGCAGATAAACCAGGGTGTGGAGGATGCTGAGAACCAAGAATTGTAGGTTTGCATAAACATGCACTGACAGTTCGATACTTCAAAAAAAAATTCCATTCTGTCATACATCATGTTTAATAAATACAACTTGTGTTCTGTCTTAACTTCTACATTTGAGTCTAATAAAGGGTACATAGCCAAATCTTTCAACAAAAAATAAGCACCTTTTAAGTACTTTTTAAGCCCTAAAAGAATATCTTTAAGCACTAAAAACATTTTAAATGCAAAATAGTTTTCAAAGACTTTTCATGATCAGGATAAAATAATTAGTTTCTGACAAAGAACTCTTTACTTGATTATATTAACCATTATAAAATGATCTAGAGATTTTTCAGTTCCATTTCAGAGGGTGGAAGATGATGCCGGAAATTGAGAATATGTAGCAAAATGCAGCAGAGTTGCACATGACAGTGCAATAATCTCACAGAACCCAGCTCAGTATACGTACAAGTGGACCTGCAAGCATTTCATCAAATATGTAAAATGATTGCACTTTCATACATTACGGATTGACAGTACCCCGAAATGTATCGTGTTTGAATGAATTGTGAAAACGTTGAATAGAACAATGCGAAAACTACTCTTTTGCATAATACGTGACAAAAATAGACATGGTAAAGAAAAAAAATTTCCTTTTCGTAAAGGGAAAATTGAGCACTTTTTAAAAACACCCAATAAAAATAGCATCTTTAAGGGCTTTTAAAAAGCGAAAATAAAAAATAAGCACCTTTAAGCAATTTTTAAAAATACTTCATACGATGTAACAGAATTTAAATTTTAGATTAGCAGAACTCTAAGAAAATTTAGTTGAAATACAAATTATTGATTTGTGAAAGTTTGCGATTTAACGGTCTTGAGATTCGCAGAATTTCGCAAATTAGCAGAAGAATCACATGCCTGACTATATTAAATTTTTGTTAAAAATTCTAATAAAACTAATAGTGTATAATCTAAGCATTACGTCCAGTGTCCTAGAAGAAATACTGGATGAAATGCTAACTCTGATTTACAAAAGAATGAAATGTCAACTAGAACCAATGAGGGTTGTCACTCAAATCTGGGGGAAAAAATTCCCTGCGTTTTCCCTATACGTATTGTTTATAATATATTAAGAGGAAACAACAATTACTGCGCTCTTGCGTGAGCTATATTTGGGCTAACTATATTTATTAGTTTAAATTGCTGGAAAAACAGCTGAACATACTAAAATAACGCTATAGTAAATGAAATAGTTAAGTATAGCTGAAATATCATGGTTAAATATTTAATAGATTACACTTTGAGTGGTCACCATTTTTTTAAAAGACAAAAATAAGAAACAAAATTTTCTGTATTTTTTAAATGCATGTATTTTTCAGGTTTTCCCTGTGGAGTAGCAACCCTGCCAATGTGATTAATATCTACTACAGTTAATTTAACTCATTACTGTTCACAGTTTTTTTTTTTTTTTTTGTTGCCTGAAATATCTGTATATGTAATTTAATGAGAAAACNTTTTCAGGTTTTCCCTGTGGAGTAGCAACCCTGCCATTGTGATTAATATCTACTACAGTTAATTTAACTCATTACTGTTCACAGTTTTTTTTTTTTTGTTGCCTGAAATATCTATATATGTAATTTAATGAGAAAACACACATTGTAAATAAAATTATATTTAGATTTAAAAAACAAAATCCCAAAAAAAAGTATAATTGTTGATTATCTCAGATGATTTTAAATAAATATATGGCCAAAACGAACCTGAAATACATCGAATTTGGGTGGTCCCTGAGCTTCCTTTGAGAGAATGTGGTAAACAGCAAACACTAGTTTGTGGGACTGGACATAAAAACTTATTGCAAGATCTGGCGGCAGCGGTGGTTGCAAAGATTTCTAGAAATAAAGATCACTTTTTTAAAAAATGGATGTTCACTGCTGCGTTGTAAAAAAGGGCAAGAAGAGACAATTCCTACCACATTTCGACTTTTCTGCAGCTCATTTATGGTCCGTTTCTTGGGTATCAATAAACAGGATCTACCCCTTTGAAGGCATCCCATCAGATTGTTTACAACCTATTCATAGAAAACTGATAAGTTAAAACTACAAATGCACTGTTAAACACATAGATTCATACTCACGTGTATAACTTCCTCTGCAGATTGAAACTCAAGCTTTCCATCCATGTTAGCTGCAGGGAGGGATGAAAATATTTGAAGAGCAAGAGCCAAGTGATTTCCTGCATCTTGAATCTACAATGCATTTAACAAATGAACCAACTTTGAATGCTCTTGATTTTAAATTTGAAAAACATACATAACTTGTTTAAGTTCAAACTAATTCTAGTATTTTCATAAAAAAAACTGCATAGATACATAAAAGCACTATTTGAAATGCAATTAACCGCTTCCCTGATTTTCCAGAGTTAACTCGGTTATGTATACATTGCAAATATTTATTATGCCGAGAAAATTCGGACCTTGTCAGTATGTTTTGTTTGATAACGTTTGTGTTTGGCTGGAAGAAAAAATAAATAAATAAAAAAGTAATCTGCAGTGATTCGAAGTTTGCCAAGTTTTGCTGTTTAATTGTGGGACTGCACACGTGTCTTGTGCGATTGTATATACGATGGTTGCAGAATTCACATAGAGAAAAAAAAAGAGTAAAGTAAATAAAATAAATGGTGTATCACTTCACAGGTGTGTTGTCCCTTGTTTTAAAAACTATCATAAAAAGACTAATATTTCACTTTTTTCATTTGCCCGAGATAACTAGGGACAGTAAATTAAATGTTTCTTATACATAAAAAAAAAAATTAAAATTTCAGCTTATAACTTGTGTATTATGTTTTGTTTTAGTTCCTTGTATTTATTAATGAAATAAAAAAATATGCTGATTTCCTGCATTTCTTACAAAAAATTTGTAAGGGAAACAGTTAATTAAAATAAATTTAACCTCTTCTTTGAATTTCTGGCCAAAAAAATAAACTTTTTTGCTGAAAATTAATATATGTTCTATCCTAAATTCGAAAAGGCAAAGTATTTTTGTCAGCATGCAGTTTCTTGCTTGACCCATTGGTGGTGAAATATGTGACATCCACTTATCTCCAGTTTCCTTGCATTGCACCCAAGTTTTATTTTTAAAAATACACTGTGATAACATAACTCTTAGCTCGATTGTTCTAAGGTGTTTAAGAAAAATATTTACAATCACTGTCTTCGAACTCACACTCTGAATAGGTCATAACTATAAAAGACAGAAAATTAAGTACTTTTTACAACCCCCCAAAAGCACCTTTAAGGCCATTTAAAAAACGTAAATTAAAACTAAGCACCTTTAAGCACTTTTCTTGACACTTGGGCAGATAATTTTGATGGAGAAGTGTTTGCAATCCTTACGGCTATTACAGCTATTGGTGAACCATCTGAACAAAACATTGTTATCTTTGTCGATTCTCAGGCTGCTATTCAGACCATTTCTGAATATAATTTATATCCCTCTGAACTCGAATTTAAGTGTAAGCAACGCATTGACTCTCTTCTTCGTTCTGGAAGAGAGGTAGTCCTCCAGTGGATCCCTGGCCACTGTGGCATTTACGGAAATGAACGGGCTGACATGTTGGCTAGAGAGGCTTCAGCACTGCATCCATCTTCTCATCCAGTTCCCCTTAGAAATGCAAGGCGGCTTCTTAAGAGCAAATTCAGGCACAGAACAATATCTGCTCTTAGGGACTTAGCTGATGGAAAATCCTGGGCTAGCCTTCTTGATGACCAGCAGCGCTCTCACCTTTCCCTCCTTCCCAGAGCTGAGGGAGTTGCTTGCCTTAGATTAATTACCGGACATGACTACTTACAGGCCCATTTATTTAAAATTAACTTGGTCAATTCATCTCTTTGTGTGCTCTGTAACACTTCGCCAATGACTGGGGAGCATTTATTAGATTGCCCCTCTCTTCTTGACATTCGTTCCTCTGATGACTTTTGTGCCCTCTCACCTTCTGGAGCTACTTCAGTATTGTATTGGACTGCAAGACGCCTTATGTCTGAGAAGACGATGGCGGGCGTAATTTTTAAAAAAAAAACCTTTAAGCACTTTTTAAAAATGCTATGCACCCTGTCCTCTGCAATGTTCTAATGCCGCGATTTGTTATTTCAAATAGACGTCGAAAGTAAAAATTAATGCGAATGGACTGTGTATAGTCACAAAACAAGCATTTTTAAACTAGAAAATTAATAACGTTTAATTTAAAAGCCCCAATGAGATATAAATGACCTCCTCTGTGGGGCACTTACGAGACAATACTAAAGGAAAACTATAAAAGGAAAAATTACTTGTTGTAGTTTCCACTGGCAGTCATTTTGAACAATAGTGCGATGAGAAGGAACAGAATGTTTGTGGAGCTTTAATAAAACATCCTAAAACAAACAAAAAAAACATTGAGTGGCTTTTTTTAAAAAAAAACAATTTCAACCCCATTAGAAATGTACTAAATAACAACATACTGCGTAACTAATATTGTCACCAGATAAAGTAACTATTGCTTGAATAGTATCAGTTGTGGATCCACCAGTTGAGCTAAAAATAAATAAAAACAATACACTTTCTACGGCAGATAACTATCAATACAAATATAAAGCAACATAAAAAGTTTTAAAAAATACATAATTTAATTTAAACGTTAGTTTGGCAAACATTGCTAAAAACTTAGATGAAACATATAAACAGAAAAAAATGTCACGTTTAAAAAATTTTCTGAAACAATGATTATTAATATTTATAAAAAAATTAATATAATAAGTTTTCACAAATTATATAAATGAGAAAGTACCTCGTGTTAGTCAAAAGAAACTTTTCGCTCTTTACTAGGGATTCAACACCATATAATTCATCAGAATCAGGAAACCTTCTAGCACATTCCTAAAAAAATAATAAAACTCACACATAAGAACTGATAAAACAATTGAGATTTATAATATATCTATAAAAAATAATAGTTTTGAATAAATAGGATTATTTTAACAATAAATCTCTACCCATGTTGTTGCCTACTAAAAATATAAATTTCGGATTCATTTTTAAAAACCAGCTGTCAATTTAAAACAGGTTTTGCCAAGTGGGCCCACTTTGAAAAAACCCATCCGGGTTTTATTGGGTGGGCCCACCTTGAAAAAACACACTTGGTGGGTTTTTTCTCTAAGTGGTTTTTTAAAATTTGGTTGAAAAAGAAGTATCTCCTAATACAATCATTGGACACGTCGTGGAAGTTAACAAATATTTTAGAAATGTGCATCAAGCGCATGGATGGGCAAATGAAAAAAAAAACTGCTTGATGCCCCAATGATACTAGGTGGAGTTCATATTGTGACCACGTAAAAACTTTAGCCAATAATTACCATAAATATCAAGAGATTGCTCTTGAACATCAAAATGAATTCAATAATAATATGTCAAAAATATTAAATTATGCTGGGCTTTACCAATAAACTATCAATTGAAAACAATGAAAAACAGTTATCAATTGTTTCTGAAGCTTTAAAAAAGTTGCAATCAGAAAACATTTCATATTCAGAAGCTGATGAAATATGAATTAACTTACTATCGTGTGATGAAATAGAACCCAATAAACATTTTCTAAAAATATTCCATCAGGCTGTTCAGCCACCTTATTTATTAGCATATTCATCCAGGATCCCAAAACAAGGGGACTATTTTTAAATGATGAACAAGAGCAATTAGCTGAAAACTGTCTTTCTAAGCATCATCCAAAATTTCTGCCAGGTGTTATGGCATTCAAAATTTCCAATCCTGAATACTTTCCAAAATCAATGATGTTTGACACTGTTATTCAACAATTTCCATCAAAAAATAATGGAAAATTATGGAAAAGAAAAAAAAAATTCAAGCTATTTCTGCCAATTCTTTTTTCTTTACACTCAGCACCAGCATCCTCTGTCTCTATCGAAAGACTTTTTAACTTTCAGTTTGGTGTGGAGTAAACTACATGAAATACATTAGGAATAGATAAAGCTACAAAACTGGTAAATGTGTATCATCATCTAAGAGAGAAATGTAGACACTTTGAATCTGCTGTATGATAATAATAAAATGGATCTTTTTTAAAGTTAATTCTTAAAATCTGCTGACAATTTTTAACTACTGGAGAAAGTTTATCATCATTAAAAAACAATTAAAAATTAAAATATTACTTTTAAGATTTTTTAAATATTATTTTTAAGATTTCATTCAAATATAATTTATTTCATTTCTTTTAATCATGTTTAAAAAAAATTGAGAACAAACAAAAAAAAACAACAATAAACAAATTTAAAGCTTTATTTTCCGATTTTAAAAAAATAAGCTAAAACTTTTTATATATGCTTTTTTATAATTTTAAGATTAATTTGTTTTTTGAAATTAAAAAGTTAAAATTTATCTGAAAATGCAGTCTTTTTTTTAAGGTTAAGTATTTGAAAAATGGGACGAGTAACTGATACTCTTTATAATTATACATAATTTTAATTTCACTTTCTATTAATCGAATTATAAAAACATGGAAGAACATTAAATATTTAATCCAGTTTAATTTTATTAAAGATAAAAGTCAAACAAAAATTTTAGTTTTTACTGATTGTAAATATTTATTGATTATAAATTTGTAATAAGTAATATATATATATATATATATATATATATACACATCCCATACACACCCATATATATATATACATATATGCTTAATAAATATAGTAAATAGATGTGTGGGAAAACAAAAAGATTAATAAACTTGTTCCTTTTATATTACTGTTGCATTTATATTTTATAGTGCTTCAGTTAAAAGTTGTGAAATGTTATGTATTTAACAACAAAGATTCAAACATGCATTAGGGATAGTGCATTACTTAAACTTATTTTAATTTTATTATACATATTTTATATACACTTTTTGGATTTATTTCTATTTTTAAGCTTATACAGCACTATTCAATAAATAAAAATATTTTCACAGTAAAATTTTAAAGTTCAAGAGCTTAATTGAAAAAGCCCAATTTTCCCCGGGTTTTTTCAAATAAAACCCAATTTTCCAAGGGTTTTTTCCAATAAAATCCAGGCGGGTTGGGTTTTTTCAAAAATCCCCTGGTTTTTTCAAACCCTGATTTAAAATCATCAAAATGTGTAAAGATTTTAAGTAGCTTGTAAGATCAAACTAAATAATAATAAAATAAATATATTTTGTTAAAAAAAAATCTTCTTGTCTTCATTACTAAGATACCCTTTCCAGTAAGTTTTAACAATACCTTTTCAGGAATTCTTCTAAATTTAATTTTGTTTTTTTTTTGATCATCACATAAATATAGTAAAACATTAATGTAAAAATTCTAAGTAAAATAATTTGAATGCTTTTTGGAGTCAGATTACCATTGAATTGGATAGCATTCAATTGGATTTCCTTTACATTCAATGGTTATAAAAGAAGGAAAACAAATCAACATTTTCTTTTCTTGTCTAATGTTTACAATTTCTATTTATACATTTAAGTAAATGCTCATATAAAGGATAAAAAATTGCTCAGTATTCTTTTGATTATTTCTAGCTACATAATTGCCATAATTTTTCGACACGTTAAAAAAAAAAGTCAATAAATTTTGACACCTTTGCAAGTTAAATTTGAAACGGAGTGAAGTAACAAAATTAAAATTTAAAAAAAGAAAAATATTATTGTCGTAAAGAAGCTAGGAGCTTCACCTTTAGAGTAACTACGAAACTAAATAACTTCTTTAGTACATAGCTTGTGTACTAGTTCGCCTCCCATCTAAAAAGCAGGAATGACATTTATTTTATTAATATTTAACTATTTTATTTATCCACTCTAAACTGACCATCAAAATTTTTCTATATAAACCCAAATGTTATAATCAATAAATATTCATTAATGAATAAATAATACAAATGAACATAGCATTAATTATTAAGATACATTACTAAAAAATTCACAACACTACAAAATTCATTGAAATAGTAGAATAAAAATTTACCAAAATATTATTATATATTTACAATCAATATTTACTAATGCATAAATAGTGAAAGCAGTGATATCATTAAACTTTAAAAAAAAACACACACACATTTGCACAGAACTATCCATTAAAAAGTAGAGAAGAAATTTACCAAAATAATGTCGTGTATTTCTTCCAAGATAACAGTAACCTCTTCTTGCAATAGCCAATCAAACTCTTGATGCTTTAAAGAAACAATTTATTAAAAGGTCAAATTAATGTTGAATTGGATGTGTACAGAGACACTTACAGTAATAGGCTTTTTCTAAAAAATCTACCCCTGGTTTTATAAATCTAAAATTAATATTAAAAAAAAATGGTTCCTTCAGACTAAGTTCTTTTTTGGCAATTTCGCAAAAAATTAAATTAAGTTTCCATTTTAAATAAATTAAATTTTTAATTGTAGCTTTTAAATAAAAAGACCGTCTTTTATTTAAAAAAACTGATAATTAATAATTCATTATTCAAAATTAACCAAACATTTTAATAAATTTCATTAAAGAACATTAAACAAAACAATGTAAGTAAAATATGATACATTAATTTTACTTTCTCTTAAGGGTATTTATTTCGTAAATAGATAAAATATTATTAATTTTAATGATGTAATTTATGCTCTATATTTGCTTCTAAAACTAAACAATTTGCCTAAAATTTTTCTACATTTCAATCATGTTCTGATTGATCTAGTGCAATGTTTCCTAGAGTGCGGTATGCGTACCACCAATGGTACGGGAACAGTTTAGCGGGGGTACATGTTCTTGTGCGAAATATCTTGCAACAAACTAAAATATTAAAAAAGTTTACTTAAAAACAAAGCTAGCCATCAAAATTTACGATTACGTATTTTTCTATTGGCTTTTTTTTTACAGAATTAACAGTTAATAATTAGTGGTGTCAACAGCCAGTAGTGATTTTTAACTTTTATGCAATTTTTTCAAAGTAAAAAATACATTCATTTTTTTTATTAGTGGCACACAGCATTACGAAAAATTTAGAAAGGGTACACAAAAGTCTTTAAGTTTGGGAAACACTGATCGAGTGAAATAAATTCATAATAATTATTCTTTAAAATTAAATTAATTTATTTGTAAATTAGACCTTTTCTTTAAAACTGTGCATGATTTGTTCAAAATAATTACCTCCAGGGAACACCATTCATATATATNTATATATATATATATATATCAGGGGTCTGTCTAGGGTTTTTTGAGAGTGAAAATTTAGACATAATTTGTGAAATTCAAAAATTAGGATTAAAATATCAACACAAAAATATGATAAATTAGAAAATATTTAAATATTTTTTGAAAATATGTTAAAAGTATTTTGTAAAACTACCATTCTTCCTAAAAATAAATTTGTGAAAGTAATGCTTAACGGCAGCAAATTTTCCCTGGACAGGCCCCTGTATATATATATATACATATATATATATATACAGTGAAACCGCGATAACTCGAATCTGATAGGACTGAAGAAAAACTTCGACATATCGGAAGTTCGACTTACCGTTAGTTTCGGTTTTGGACTTTCAAAATATNAATTACATTAAAAAATAAATATGGTAAAATAGGGTTAAAAATATATGGTATAATTAGAAAATATTTAAATATTTTTTGAAAATATGTTAAAAGTATTTTGTAAAACTATCATTTTTCCTAAAAATAAATTTGTGAAAGTAACGCTTAACGGCAGCAAATTTTTCCTGGACAGGCCCCTGTATATATATATATATATTCAGAATTTGAAACTGACTGCTTAACACATTATTTTATGTAAAAAATATTTGATTAATTTCATTAATGTGTAGTTCATTTAACTTCTAGAAAGCTGAAAAGTAAGTATAAAATAGTCATTCTTAAAACTTATTCTATTATTATTCCCTTGAATAACAATCAATCAATTTTTTCTTTAACAATATATTTTAAATTTAATAAACTAAGAATATACATAGAAATTTTTTGAAAAAACATACTTATTTCAAGGCAAAAAAAAAAAAAAAATTAGAATAAACCCAAGCAGTTTTTCCTGCTAGGCTGATTAAATTCAAAGGATCTTGAAGCAACAAATAAATATTTTTATAATAATTTAATAATTATAATTAATTTAATAAGTTCCACTCGAAAATAAATCTTGAAACAAGATGAAGTGCATGTGGAATAAAATAAATATAAGTTGTCAGTCAGGAATAATAAACAAACATACTACATGAAAAAAACTATGAGAATTTAATATAATTATTGGAGTAGCTTAACTTTTAAAATGCAAAAATCTGAGTAAATGAAAGATCAACAAATAAAAAATACATATTTAAAATTATGTTGCAGCACACTTTAACGTAAAAGATACATACTTTCAGGACTCATAATTAGCTTATCACATAAAATTACAAAGGTATTACTTATGTTTTTGACAATTTTCTTAATAGATTACTTGATTTATTTAATAAATCACATATTAATAAACTAGAAAATAGAATTTTAGTATAGTCAAATAAAATTTGAACAGAATAATAAAATTCAAGAATTAATGTGGAATGAGCATGCAATAATAACGTGACGAAGCCTATTCGCTGATAATTTCTTGAAGAGCTAAGTTTTTTAAAATCAAGAGAGAAATCAAATTTTAAAATTTATCAATTTTACTTTATAAAATAATAAAGCACACTGACTTAGAAATTAAATAACAAATTTTAATCAAATTATTAAGGGTAGGATGATTATGTGATAAAAAAAAGATTATAATTTATAGATATTTAAGTTTAAGTAAATCTAATATATAAACATTTCAATTTGTACTCACAAGGGTAACTACTTCATCTTCTATTTCAGCCATAACAACTTTCAGTAAAATTAATTCATTAACAAAACTTACTATAACAAAACTAATTTTGTTTGATGGTTGGACAACGACAACAGATTGAAAAGTAACGTTGCCTACTACCAGTTTCTGTATTTTCCGGTTACTGAGAGAGAGAGAGCATATACTTTTTAAGCTATAAGCTGAAATATTTTGGCGTAACATTTAGTACCAAATAGTCTCTCAACCCACTGAGTATGTAATTTGAAATAAATAAGAAAAAAATATATTTATATATAATTCGTTACAAAATAATCAAAACCAAAAAAGCGAAATCAAAATAAATAATTTAGCTATGTGTAAAAAACATATTCTTTTAATCGAAGCATTTTATGGTGGATCACACAAACAACTGATGGACTTAATTGTTGATTTATTTCCATTAACTTCTGATCTATTTACTATGACTGCCAAAAAATGGCACTGGAGAGCTATTTCATCCCCGTTATATATAGCGAATACAATACCCAAAGAGCATGATTATCGGTAAGTAATTTTATAGTTATTTGTTTACAAAAGCTGTCAACATTTTCCCTACCTCTCTTAAATATTAATCATCAGAAAAATTTGTGCTTAATAATCATCGAACTCATTAATATAATAATCATTATCAGAGCATGTAATGATAATTATTTCTAAATTTTACTTAGCTTTCTCGTAATTTTAGAATTTCAGCTTTTAAATGTATAAGTACATTGAATAATATCAGTAGATTTTCGTTTGAGCTGTATTATACATGGTATCTGCGCACCTGGAAAGTCATGAATTTTGGTAGCCGAAAAATCTAATTTTTAAAATGGAATCTATCCCCCACCCCAATTTCATAGTGTTCCAAATATCTGAATTTGTAACAAAATCGCTGCTCACAGTCTTATTTTATTAAAATGTAAAATGTTTTTATCATGTTCTTTAAAAAATTATGGTGTTATTTCAAAAAGAAAAAACATCCTTTCTAGAGCGAATTATCTTTTAAACTTATGTGATTTTAGAATTTTTGTTATTATTTATTTTATTTTATCAATTTAAAATTCTAGCTGAAGCAAGCCAGTCATTCGCAAATTTTTTTATTCCAAAATGAGAACAGAAAAATCAGTAGTATTTCTTTCCTTTCAGCAAGGATGGCACCAGACTTTGCCAGACAAGTGGTCAAGTCTTCCCCGATAGAAGGACTCAGACAAATTAATTCAAAATATTTAAATTAAAACGAATTTTATACTTCACATTTTTTTCTCACACCATTTTTTTTCAAGCGTGTTTCTAAGGATTTGAAATCACTAATATTAAAACCATAATGTGCAGATTCATTTTGATGTAAATTTAAATTGAATTTTTTTTTTTCCGTTATCAATGTATTTTGTACTGTATGGTTATCACACACTGTAAGCTTTGAAATTACTCTTGTAATTAAGAAAAATAGTTGCAGCAGTCACCTTTATTTCAAAAAATTTCTGCGCTTCTTACTCTCATAACTCATAATGCAAAAATTATTCTATAATAAAAATTTGAAATTTCATGCATATTTAACAAAAATTTAAAGAACATTTTGTTATGAAAATGTTATTTTTAATATGCATCAATTGACTTCTGAATCATTTAAATGTTATAAGTATAAGTACATGTTTTGCATCCACGTATTCTAATTTAAGATATCATGCCCCATTTTGAACGAACTTCTAAATGTTTATGGCTATTAAATTCTAAAATTCGATTTTTTTTTTAAATTGTTACATAGTATATAATTTTACAGACTAGAAAAGGGCTATTTCAATCTGGGAACTTGATGTTAATATGTATTGTATAAATAATAACAAGGAGACTTTTAAATTTCTCATTATGATTCCTTTTTCTATTCGAAGATGCTTTTAAAGTGAACATCTAAGTTCAGCAAAATGCTAATTTCTCCATTTGAGAAAAAGAGTGAGCCCATCGTCTTAAAATATAAAATTCAAACAATATAGCTAAAATTTGTGATGATCTTACAAATTTTAAATTTGCGTCCGAGAAGCGATTATAAACCAACTTACATTTTAAAAAAAATTGACAATATATGTGGCTGCTATTTGTCTACCTATGTTTTTGTTTCTCTGCAGAGCTGAAAGCAAACTTTCCACCAAGATTTCTGTTTCGCCCTGCAGAAGCTTTTTACATATTGCCATACACCTGCAACTAATAACCTTTCACACAGTTAATACATTATTGTTTACCACATATTCAACACAAAACAATCTTTTCTCTACAATTTAAATTGGCTTTTGCTTTTATAGTTATGAATTTTAAGTCACGAAAAATAGACACAAAAGATTAAGGAGTTAGTGGACCAAAGTTCAAAATTACGAGTTTTTTTTTATTTCTCAGGATTTATTTAACCGATTTCGCTTAAATTTTGTATTCTGACATTTAAAATTGCATTCTTTCAGATGATGAAAAAATTGTATACCTTACATTTCTAAAGTTTTTCGACTTTCATTAAACAAAGTAGGTAATAGATGTTTACTAAAAGTTATATTTTGATTGAAATTATCTTTAGAACAATGAATTGAAATTGATTGGATGGATTGATATGATTGTAATTGTATGCAAAATTTTTCAATTTGCTTAAAAAAAATTTGGGATACAGTGAAATACGCAAAAACTAAAATTACAAAACATTTAAAATTTTCTCAACAGGAAGATGAATTTTTCTGACAAGGGCAGAGATTACAATCTTGATTTGTATGTCCATTTTACTTATCCTTATTGTTTTATTGTATTAAAAAAAATTATGTCTTTTCATGATTAGAAAACTATTTCTGATGGAATAGCACCAGCATTTAAACTACAGAATTATTGAGGTCCTCTTTATTGTAGTTCATATGACAACTTGGTAGTTATTACAAGTCTATTCAATATTTTAACTCATAAAGGAACAATTATAATTGAATTTATTAGCATATATAAATATATACACTGTTTAAGAACAAATTAGAAAAAAAATAAAGATTGACAGAACAAACTTAGTTCTTTACTGTTTCGAAATAATTTAAAAATCAATTTTTTTGCATTGAACGGTGTGATGTTTAACAAAATACTTTTTTCTATTGAATGCGGAGAAAGTGTACATGCATCAAAAGTGTGGTAACATGAGTATGATGGGGTAGGAGCTAGGACAGTCTTGTTGTCTCCCCCTATCCCTCAGGGGTGTTGAATAACTTTCCATATGGAAACAAACAAAAAAATTGTCCCTCAGAATTTTCTGAGGATAAGTGAACAGGAAGTTGTTAGTAAATTGCAAGTAGATCAAACACATTTTCGTCTTTAAGTTTTTAATTAATTCTCATTTACAAGAAAACAAAATGAATTAAAAAGCTAGATTTTTTAAGAATGTAATTATATTTCTTTTCAAGAGGGTAGCGTTTTCCAGTTGACATTTTTTAGTTCGTCCGGATAGGGGGCAAACGGCCGCTGCCTTTGCCTTTCGGATGGCAAGAAAATTATCTTTAGAATATAATTTTGGAGAAAAAAAGAATTATTTGCTTTTGTATTTTTTTTTAGCTATTTTATTGCTTCAACTCTTTCTTTACCCTGTTTTTTAAATTAAAATCTATAGATGTGAAGATGCAGAGTGTAACAGTTTTGGTTATACCTATCATTTCAATTATTATAATGCTTTTTTTTAATTTATTGTNGGAAACAAACAAATTGTCCCTCAGAATTTTCTGAGGATAAGTGAACAGGAAGTTGTTAGTAAATTGCAAGTAGATCAAACACATTTTCGTCTTTAAGTTTTTAATTAATTCTCATTTACAAGAAAACAAAATAAATAAAAAAGCTAGATTTTTCAAGAATGTAATTATATTTCTTTTCAAGAGGGTAGCGTTTTCCAGTTGACATTTTTAAGTTCGTCCGGATAGAGGGCAAACGGCCGCTGCCTTTGCCTTTCGGATGAACAAGAAAATTATCTTTAGAATATAATTTTGGAGAAAAAAATAATTATTTGCTTTTGTATTTTTTTCAGCTATTTTATTGCTTCAACTCTTTCTTTACTCTGTTTTTTAAATTAAAATCAATAGATGTGAAGATACAGAGTATAACAGTTTTGGTTATACCTATTATTTCAATTATTATAATGCTTTTTTTTAAATTTATTGTTTTGTTTTTGTCAGAGAAAATAGCAACTTCGTTAAGTCACGAAAAATTCTTGGAATTAGTCATGGATTTGAATATCTAAAATGTAGCAGATACCCTGTAAAAAGTTTTTTTTTATTTCGCTCACAGTCACTGAGCTTTGTCTTTAATTTTTTTGTGTGAGCTATTTTTTATGATTTTAATGAATTATAGTGAGTACTTTTCATGTAAGCGGAGATGTGTTGAGGCTTCATTGTATTTTACTCAATTTGATTAAATATTTTTAAAGAAAAATTTGTATAGCTCTTTCCTTTTTTCAAAAAAAAAAAAAAAAAAAANAAAAAAAAAAATTCTTTCAATAAGGTTTATTATGTAATATCAGCATTCCCCCCCCCCCAAGGTTTTAGAAGTTTTTTTGAATTTAGAAGACTGTAAATAGCCTTCTATTCAAAATATCTTTAAATTTTTAGATATTTTAAATAAATAATAATGAAAAGTTGACGAAAGCATTCCTCAGCAGTTAAAAAAAATTATTACAATTGTGCTAATTTTGAACTAATTATTTGAATCAGATATTGTCTCAAATTATATTGCTCATTAGTATATTGCTCTTAAATTAGAAATGCTCATGCGATCTAAAGTCATTTGCTCACTATCACTTTTCATACTCTACAACAGCTTTTTTCAGTTCTTTCCTAATCATTTCACTTGCTTTTCATATCCTAAAACATAGCACTCTACCCCGTGGCAGAATCAGGGCGACATTGTCGCCGAACCTTACAGAGTTTTGCAGAAACAATTTTCCTTTAGAAAGTAAAAATGTTTCTTTTTTTTTCTGCAGAAATTTTCAAAATTATTTTTTCTCTACAATTATACTTAAAAGATGTCTTTTTCGCGCATCAGAGAGGGAAGAAATGTCTTTTCTATTCTTATTTGAGAAGAATGAATAATGAAGAAAAAAAATTTTCTTTTCTGCAGAAATGTTTGAAATAAAATATTCAAAACATTTTTGAGCATCAGAAGGGAAAGAAATGCTCGTGATTTTTCTATTCTTATATGGGAATAATGGAAAGTACATAATAATAAAAAAATTTGGTTTTCTTTTTTACCAAGATTTTCATAAGACTTTATTTTCTTCCAGGATTATTATATAACAACATACATTAGGTATATATTATTATATAACAACATACATTACATACCAAGCTTTTGTTTCATTTTTCAAAAGATTACATTCACTTGCCTCGGAAGGAAAAGAAATGCTCAGGATTTTTTTATTTTTATTTAAGAATAAAAAAAAGATTGATAATGACTGATTTCAGTTAGAATATCAATTAAAAAATATAAGGAAAAAAATGAAATTCTGAAAGTTAAAAAGATAG